GGGGAAGGAAACAGGCATCAAAATCCAGGAGGCACAGAGAACCCCCCTCAAAATCAATAAAAATAGGTCAACACCCTGACATCTAATAGTAAAACTTACGAGTCTCAGCAACAAAGAGAAAGTCCTGAAAGCAGCTCAGGACAAGAGATCTGTAACCTACAATGGTAGAAACATTAGATTGGCAACAGACCTATCCACTGAGACCTGACAGGCCAGAAAGGACTGGCATGACATATTCAGAGCACTAAATAAGAAAAATATGCAGCCAAGAATACTATATCCAGCTAGGCTGTCATTGAAAATAGAAGGAGAGATCAAAAGCTTCCAGGACAAACAAAAACTAAAGGAATTTGCAAACACGAAACCAGCCCTACAAGAAATCTTGAAAGGGGTCCTCTAAGCAAAGAAAGAGCCTAAAAGCAACATAGACCAGAAAGGAACACAGACAATATATAGTAACAGTCAGCTTACAGGCAATACAATGGCACTAAATTCCTATCTTCAATAGTTACCGTGAATGTAAATGGGCTAAATGCCCCAATCAAAAGACACAGGCTATCAGATTGGATAAAAAAACAAGACCCATCGATATGCTGTCTGCAAGAGACTCATTTTAGACACAAAGACACCCCCAGATTGAAAGTGAGGGGGTGGAAAACCATTTACCATGCTAATGGACACCAAAAGAAAGCTGGGATGGCAATCCTTGTATCAGACAAATTAGATTTTAAACCAAAGACTATAATAAGAGAAGAGGAAGGGCACTATATTCTACTTAAAGGGTCTACCCAACAAGAAGATCTAACAATTGTAAATATCTATGCCCCTAACATGGGAGCAGCCAATTATATAAGCCAATTAATAACAAAAGCAAAGAAACACATCAACAACAATACAATAAAAGTGGGGGACTTTAACACCCCCCTCACTGAAATGGACAGATCATCTAAGCAAAAGATCAACAAGGAAATAAAGACTTTAAATGACACACTGGACCAAATGGACTTCACAGATATATTCAGAACATTCCATCCCAAAGCAACAGAATACACATTCTTCTCTAGTGCCCATGGAATATTCTCCAGAATAGATCACATCCTAGGTCACAAATCAGGTCTCAATTGGTACCAAAAGATTGGGATCATTCCCTGCTTATTTTTGGACCACAATGCTTTGAAACTAGAATTCAATCACAAGAGGAAAGTTGGAAAGAACTCAAATACATGGAAGCTAAAAAGCATCCGACTAAAGAATGAATGGCTCAACCAGGAAATTAAAGAAGAATTTAAAAAATTCATGGAAACAAAAGAAAATGAAAACACAACTGTTCAAAATCTTTGGGATGCAGCAAAGGTAGTCCTAAGAGGAAAGTATATAGCAAAACAAGCCTTTCTCAAGAAACAAGAAAGGTCTCAAATACACAACCGAACCCTACACCTAAAGGAGCTGGAGAAAGAACAGCAAATAAAGCCTAAACCCCAGCAGAAGAAGAGAAATAATACAGATAAGAGCAGAAATCAATGAAATAGAAACCAAAAGAACAGTAGAACAGATCAACGAAACTAGGAGCTGGTTCTTTGAAAGAATTAACAAGATTGATAAATCCCTGGCCAGACTTATCAAAAAGAAAAGAGAAATGATGCAAATAAATAAAATCATGAATGAAAGAGGAGAGATCACAACCAACACCAAAGAAATACAAACAATTATAAGAACATATTATAAGCAACTCTATGCCAGAAAATTAGATAATCTGGAAGAAAGGATGCATTCCTAGAGATGTATCAACTACCAAAACTGAACCAGGAAGAAACAGAAAACCTGAACAGACCTATAACCACTAAGGAAATTGAAGCAGTCATCAAAAATCTCCCAAAAAACAAGACCCCAGGGCCAGGTGGCTTCCCAGGGGAACTCTACCAAACATTTAAAGAAGAATTAATACTTATTCTTCTGAAACTGTTCCAAAAAATAGAAATGGAAGGAAAACTTCCAAACTCGTTTTATGAGGCCACCATTACCTTGATCCCAAAACCAGACAAAGACCCCATCAAAAAGGAGAATTACAGACCAATATCCCTGATGAACATGGATGCAAAAATTCTCACCAAAATACTAGCCAATAGGATCCAACAGTACATTAAAAGGATTATTCACCATGACCAAGTGGGATTTATTCCTGGGCTGCAAGGTTGGTTCAACATCCGCAAATCAATCAATGTGATACAGTATATTAATAGAAGAAAGAACAAGAACCATATGATCCTCTCAATAGATGCAGAAAAAGCATTTGACAAAGTACAGTATCCTTTCTTGACCAAAACTCTTCAGAGTATAGGGATAGAGGGTACATACCTCAATATCATAAAAGCCATCTATGAAAAACCCACAGCAAATATCATTCTCAATGGGGAAAAACTGAGAGCTTTCCCCCTAAGGTCAGGAACACAGCAGGGATGTCCACCATCACCACTGCTATTCAACAGAGTACTAGAAGTCCTAGCCACAGCAATCAGACAACAAAAAGAAATAAAAGGCATCCAAATCGCAAAGAAGAAGTCAAACTCTCACTCTTTGCAGATGATATGGTATTTTATGTGGAAAACCCAAAAGACTCCACCCAAAACTGCTAGAACTCATACAGGAATTCAGTAAAGTGGCAGGATATAAAATCAATGCACAGAAGTCAGTGGCATTCCTATACACCAACAACAAGACAGAAGAAAGAGAAATTAAGGAGTTGATCCCATTTACAATTGCACCCAAAACCATAAGATACCTAGGAATAAATCTAACCAAAGAGGCAAAGGATCTGTACTCAGAAAACTATAAAATACTCATGAAAGAAATTGAGGAAGACACAAAGAAATGGAAAAACGTTCCATGCTCATGGATTGGAAGAACAAATATTGTGAAGATGTCAATGCTACCTAGAGCAATCTACACATTCAATGCAATCCCTATCAAAATATCAACTTTTTTCAAAGAAATGGAACAAATAATCCTAAAATTTGTATGGAACCAGTAAAGACCCCGAATAGCCAGAGGAATGTTGAAAAAGAAAAGCAAAGCTGGTGGCATCACAATTCTGGACTTCCAGCTCTATTACAAAGCTGTCATCATCAAGACAGTATGGTACTGGTACAAAAACAGGCACATAGATCAATGGAACAGAATAGAGAGCCCAGAAATGGACCCTCAACTCTATGGTCAACTCATCTTTGACAAAGCAGGAAAGAATGTCCAATGGAAAAAAGACAGTCTCTTCAACAAATGGTGTTGGGAAAATTGGACAGCCACATGCAGAAGAATGAAACTGGACCATTTCCTTACACCACACACAAAAATAGACTCCCAATGGTTGAAAGACCTCAGTGTGTGACAGGTGTCCATCAACATCCTAAAGGAGAACACAGGCAGCAACCTCTTTGACCTCAGCCACAGCAACTTCTTCCTAGAAACATCACCAAAGGCAAGGGAAGCAGGGCAAAAATGAACTATTGCGACTTCATCAAGATAAAAAGCTTTTGCACAGCAAAAGAAACAGTCAACAAAACCAAAAGAGAGCCGACAGAATGAGAGAAGATATTTGCAAATGACATACCAGATAAAGGTATGTCATATAGTATCCAAAATCTATAAAGAACTTATCAAACTCAACACCCAAAGAACAAGTAATCCAATCAAGAATTGGGCAGAAGACATGAACAGACATTTTTCCAAAGAAGACATCCAAATGGCCAACAGACACATGAAAAAGTGCTCAACATCGCTCGGCATCAGGGAAATCCAAATGAAAACCTCAGTGAGATACCATCTCCCACCAGTCAGAATGGCTAAAATTAACCAGTCAGGAAATGACAGATGTTGGCGGGGATGAGGAGAAAGGGGAGCCCTCCTACACTGTTGGTGGGAATGCAAGCTGGTGTAGCCACTCTGGAAAACAGTATGGAGGTTCCTCAAAAAGTTGAAAATAGAGCTACCATACGACCCAGCAATTTCACTACTGGGTATTTACCCCAAAGACACAAATGTAGTGATCCGAAGGGGTACGTGCACCCCCATGTTTATAGCAGCGATGTCCATAGTAGCCAAACTATGGAAAGAGCCAAGATGTCCATTGACAGATGAATGGATAAAGAAGATGTGGTGTGTGTATATAGACACACACACACACACTGGAATATTATGCAGCCATCAAAAGGAATGAAATCTTGCCATTTGCAACAACGTGGGACCTGGAGGGTATTATGCTGAGCGAAATAAGTCAAACAGAGAAAGACATGTATCATATGATCTCACTGATATGAACAATTCTTAATTTCAGGAAACAAACAGGGTTGCTGGAGTGGTGGGGGGTGGGAGGCATGGGGTGACTGGGTGATAGACATTGGGGAGGGTATGTTCTATGGTGAATGCTGTCAATTGTGTAAGACTGTTGAATCACAGACCTGTAACTCTGAAACAAATAATACATTATATGTTAAAAAAAGAAGAAGATAGTAGGAAGGGAAAAATGAAGGGGGCAATTGGAGGGGGAGATGAACCATAAGAGACTATGGACTCTTGAGAAACAAACTGAGGGTTCTAGAGGGGAGGGGGTGGGGGGATGGGTTAGCCTGGTGGTGGGTATTAAAGAGGGCACATATTGAATGAAGCACTGGGTGTTATACACAAACAATGAATCACGGAACACTACATCAAAAACTAATGATGTAATGTATGGTGATTAACATAATAAAATAAAAAAATAATAAAAAATAAAGTAATAGGAAAAAGTCTTTTGCATGTTGATCAATAAGATGTGCCTAACTAAACCAATACATTAATAGAATGTAGATTTACATAATTTTTTAAAAATCATACACATACGTAAACTTTATAATTATTCCACATTTTGAAAATCTATTAGGGCAGAAACATAATGACATTATAAAACTTCTATAAAAACAACCAAGTACATCTTGCATTGAACTTAAATTAGTTTAAAATCATCTTACCTGTGTAAAAAGTATAAACTGAGCAAACTGCCAGGGAAGCATAAAAGCAACATTGGAAAGACAGAGTGCAATAAAATGCCTTCTATTACTGATCGCGGTCCTTAATAGAGAGAATTGATACCAATAAGTTTTACCATAAAAGTAGCCTATCACTAAACAGAAAAGCTAACTGAAAAATGATGAAATCTAATGACCCCTTACCTTTGATATAAGGTAACAAAATATAGTTAAATTTAAAAGCCCATTAAAAAGAAGTGAAAATACCTGGGTTATAAAAATGCTTAGCATAAAACAATCTTAATTAGAGCTTTAAATATTGTATCTCGTTTATCAGTAAATACAATACTTTAAACATAAAAGTTTATTTTCCTTTCACTAAGCATATTAGAAATTTAATACTCCGGCAATATGGTCAGAAAATAGTGTGAACTGACCCTCCAATATCTCAAAATATGCAGCCTATACGAGCCACAACAGTTTTACATATCACTGCTTTTAGATTTCAAAAAGCAATGAAGAAAAGTGTAAGTGTTGGTGCAATATTAAATTAACGACTATGAGAACACTTTAAAGAAAAAAATTAAAACAATGACTGAAAAAAAATTCTAGAATGCAGTTATAAACTACTCCATGTTGAAGTTTAAACTGCCCAGTCTGCAATTAAAAGATGTATCAGTAACCAACACCTTTTACCACAGATGGTTTTAGTATCTTTTAGAATATGAAAAAAGAGCTGTAAACATTTTGTGTAAATAATAAAAGTTGTATTAGATTTTGATAAATCCTTATACTATGGTATATAAATTTTCAAAAGCAAAATTTTAAATGTTCATATTGTTTAGTAATATTATCACAAAATATATTATGTTCTGTTATCTTTTATTTACCAAACAAAAGTGACTTCTGGCTAAGCTACAGAGTATAAAGCATATAAAGGCTACAGTCCTAAATGTTGTAGTTAACACATTTCATTCCATGAAACCCCTGACTGGTTAGACTAAAATCACTTCCAAAAATTGGAAAATAAACCATCTTTCTAGGAATTTAGATTACCTAAAACCTGTAGTCTAGACTCTTAAGTAGAAAGCAACTTTTTACATAGTAATTTTAGATTATTTTCTCAACTGGATACTCTATTTTTAAAGTAACTAAAAATAAAGGGAAAACAAAATTTGATAATTATAACTTAATAGGTTGAAGTATATTTTAAGAAACTTAAAATATATTTAGATTTATTTTATAAATAAAAATTACCTGAGAATCAAAGTTAAAATGCACATCTGAAGTACAAGAAATGGATATGAAAAACTTTCTCGGAGAGGTGGTGTCCACATTACACGAGTAGCCTGAAATCAATAAAATACTTCACTTTATGTTCCATCGCAATAAATATTAATCTAAAAATCATGAGTAGGTTGGTTTTAATAATTTTAATACTAGACTCATTAATTTATGAATACCTGGGATAGCTTCTCAGTTTCTGGAGCTCTCTTAATGTGCATACAGGCATTAGGTAGAGAGCCATTAACTAGCAAGTCCAGAAGCAAGTAAAACCCAAAAATGCCAAACATAAGAAACCTAAAGGGCAAACAAGATGGTAGGTATAGGAGTGGTGAGGATTTTGGAACTGAAAAACCAGATCCACATTCCAGCTCTGCAGTAAGGACCCTGGCATTCCAGGGCTTTGGCATGTATGTATGCCCAGAAAAAATCTAACTAAGTGTCACCTAGGGCATTCACAAACACCAAGAGAGTTTAAACATAACAAGTTTAATGAGTATAAGCACACACTACAAGTAACTAAAATTGTCTCTGAATTTGTGAAATACACCTTCAAAAGAGTTAACGGTTAAGTTTCTAAAAACACCTGGAAGTATCTGGAAATTACTAATGTGATACATAAATTAAAGTACTGACATTTTGTATAGACTTTAAAACTAATTATTTTTAAGACATGAGTGAGAATATTGTGAAAGTTTTATATCAAGAACTCTAAAATTCTAGAAAGAATTGAAACTCTTATAAACTCTTATTACTCCTCTTCCAAGAAACCAAAACTAAACTTTAAAAGATGGATTATGGTATGTATAAGAAAGTCAATTCATCTGGCATACTCAAAGAAAAGGTTTTGTCTTTACATGAACACACTGGTAAATGAATGCATTTGTTTAAGTTTACATATTTATGTATAATTTTTATGATTCCTTTGTCTGATTTTCTAAAATTCATCAATTATTTACCTTTTCTAGTAGTAATGGATAAAAACTTCAACCAACCCTATGTAATCCATGCCACAACATATTATATAGTTTCCAAAAGCTAGCAGTCATATTCTCTCACTTTTCATTGCTACATCTCAGCATCGAACAGAATCTGGCACAGGTTACATACTCAGTATACTGTTGAATGAATCTAACATATTCTAAATAAGTTTCTATGAACTCTTTGTAGGTGAACTATATCCCATTGGACTGAGTTAGTAAGTTTCTATTTTGAATTCAGCATTTTGTGTAATTGAAAAGGCAGCATGATGTAATAGAAGGAAGCAAGGTTTTGGAGCCAGACAGATGGAAAATGGGAAGCCCAGTTTCACCAGTTATTGAATGTGGAATCTTGTATAAGTAACATAACAACTATAAATTTCAATTTCATATCTTCTACAGTGAGGATAATAACTACCTTCCATAAAATGTCATGGGAGTAAATGAGATAATGTTTATATAAAGTGCCTGAACTTAATAAGTACAGTATTTCCTTTGTTAACAAAACAGAGTATTTGGATTTTCTACAAAATATAGGTACACTAAAAATCAGGCAAGATATTTCACATCATAAATTCTAATTATGTAAAATGTGGATAGACATGATTAAAATATGAATATTAACATGATAAAATATTGCAGTCCTAAATAACATGCAAATTATATATTGTTTTGATGAATATACTTCCTTGTTCCCATACAGCCCCTCTATCTTAAAAACTATTTTCTAGAAAACAAACCTCTCCATGGTTGAAAAAGTAGCATAATACTGTAATTAGACCTCCAAGTTGAGTCCCACTGTTAAAAAAAAAAAAGAGTATACATTAATAATTCATAAAAATATAGTGAGTTTTTTACGGGGCGCCTGGGTGGCTCAGATGGTTAAGCATCTGCCTTCGGCTCGGGTCGTGGTCCCGGGGTCCTGGGATCGAGCCCCATGTCCAGCTCCTGGCTCGGCAGGGAGCCTGCTTCTCCCTCTGCCTCTCCCCCTGCTCATGCTCTCTCTCTCTTTCTGTGTCTTGAATGAATAAATAAAATCTTAAAAAATATATATATATAGTGAGTTTTTACAAAATTATCTTAGAATTTAAAGTCATATTTAAAATGCTATAGTACTAAACCCCATACAAAATAATGCAAAAATTTCAAAAGTATGCATGTAATGTTTTAATCTTGAATGTACAAGTATACAAAATATACATACAAAGTAATCTGAATTTTATAATTTGTTGTATTTAAAATATTTTCTAAATAAAACATATAAGATGTGAATGTAAAAATTTTTAACAGGCAGGCCAGGACTTCAAAGTCTATATTGCATTCTCTGAATTTTCTGGAGGCCAGTTTTTTATTGAAATTGGATTTCAGTGACTGAGAGACAAAGACAAGAGCCCAGCAGTTTCACTTAACAGTGACTTTGAACTGTCTAAATTACTGCAAACATTCTTTGATTCAGTCCCAAAGAAACCATCATGCAGAATACAAAACTCAGATCCTGAATGGCTGATGATCATCAAAGATTAAGAACCATTTCTTGGGGCGCCTGGGTGGCTCAGTCATTAAGCATCTGCCTTTGGCTCAGGTCATGATCCCAGGGTCCTGGGATCAAGCCCCACATCGAGCCCCACATCGAGCCCCACATCGGGCTCTCTGCTCAGTGGGGAGCCTGCTTCTCCTTCTCCCACTCCCCCTGCTTGTGTTCCCTCTCTCACTGTGTTTCTTTCTGTCAAATAAATAAAATCTTTAAAAAAAAAAAAAAAGAACCATTTCTTAAAGTTGCCTTTTCTTTGTAAGTTTTCATCACTGTATCCACAACTTCACACTTGGAAGACAATAAATATCACATGAATGATGGAAGAACAGATGGAATGAGCTCAAAACAAGCAAAGCTAATGGGAAGTGATTTACCATTAATAGATTTTCACTAAAGAAAATTCAAAGGATGTCTTTGAAAAGAAAGAAATTGAGAGGAGGAAGGTGTGAGAAGCAGAACAAATGCAGCCTACAGAACGTAGGATCATGTGGATATAAATCTAAGCAAGAATTGACAATATAAAAAAAAAAGAATTGACAATATAAACAGCAATAATAGTGCCTGCTGTGGAGGGTAATAGAGGCACTAAACTATGATAGTAATTGTAAGATGTGAGGGGCTGTTTTGAAGCAAAGTGTCCTAAAATTCTTTGTACTGATCAGAAGAAGGGGAAAGATCTCAATTAATTTTGGACTTGATAAAGTCAGATATGCAGGTTACCATTTTATCATTAACCACCAAAAGAAGAGAAATGGAAAATTTCTATTCTTCCTTCCAAGTTAACACCAACAGGGGAGAGCGGCCAGGGTAAGAAATAAAAAATTTACCCCCAATTCCTATTTCTTTTGTTTTTCATATGCCATCACTTCCAATCTCCTCACAGTTTTGGCAACACTTTTATAGCCAACATTTTTTATATTTACATATCCTTCTCAAAGACTGGAGCCTAATAATGTATTTGATATTACAGAACTGTGTAACCAATTTAGAGAAGACCATCACTTCCTGAGGAGCTCTCCCAGTGAAAAATACAAATTTAAAAAAAATTTAGTCTTGTGTAACATTTTACATATTAAAGAAGCATAATAGGAGCTAATTTCAAAAATAGAACATTTTTAAAAAATAGAACATTTTAAAGCCTGCCAACATAATCTAAAAGTAATTTTCCCTCAAAATACTGATGAGTTTATATTTTCCTATAAGGCATAAATAAAAAAGTACATAAAATTTTCTAGTTCCTAGAACAATTATAAAGTGAACATACTTGTAACTAAAAGCATAATATCACTGGAACAGAAAACTGATCATCACACTCTGAGTCCCTACTTGATACCCCTTCAGACAGCCACTATCCTGATTTTTGTGATTATTAACATAACCACATCTATACACATATCAATAGTATGATTTAATCTGTTCTTAAACTTTACACAAATGGAAGTTGCATCTTTTAAGTTTGTGCTTACCTTCATTCATTCAACACTATATTTGTAAGATTTGTCCATGTTGATGTAGGTAGCTATAGCTCATTCATTCTCAATATTGTACAGTATTCCACTGTATTAATGAACTGTAATGTGTACATTTCTCTGTTGTTAGACATTTGAGTTGTTTTCAGTTTGCAGCTATTACAAACAATACTGTTATATTCTTGTACATACTTCCTGGTGTACATGTACAAAATTTCTTAGGCATATGTATACATACATATTTTTATATATATTAGTATAATTGGCACACAATGTTACATTAGCTTCAGGTATACAACATAACGATTCAACATCTATACTCACAAGTGTAGCTACCACCTGTCACCACACAACGCTATTACAATGCCATTGACTATATTCCCTATGCTGTACCTTTCCACCCTGTGACTTATTCATTCCATAACTGGACGCCTGTATCCCCACCCCCCTTCCCCAGTGGCAACCACCAAGTTTGTTCCCTGTATGTATATACTTTATAAAGGAATTGTGGAGTTAGAAGGTATCTACACCTTCAACTCTACTAAATTATGCACAGTTTTTCCAAAATAATTTTACTAATTTATATGTCCATCTGCCATGGTTAAAAGTTTCTTTTGCCAATCTAGTAGATGTGAAATAGTATGTCATGGTTTAAATTTGTATTTTTCTGATAACTAATGATGTTGGTCAACTTTACATATGTTTATTGGTAATTTGGAATTCTTCTGGTATATATTTGATCATGAATATTTTGTGCAGTTTTCTATTGGGCTGTCTTCTTAGTCTTTGTCTACCCTCTAGAATATACATTCCATGAGGACAGAGATTGTATTCCTGGCACCTAGAGTAGTGCTTCTGGTCACAGTAAGCATTCAATAAATTAGTTAAATCATCAAATTAATGATTGTAATGTCTGGATACTATGTTTGGTATATGCTTTGCAATATCTTTTCCCAGTCTGTGGCTTATCATTTTATTGTATAATATCTTGAGGAACTTAAATTCTTCCCATCAAATTTATTAGTTTTCTTCTTCATGGCAAAACTTTTCTTAAGTTTAAAAGAAATCTTTTCTTATCCCAAGTTACTGATATTCTTCTATATAACATTTTAAGCATTTTATAACTTTGTCTTTCATATTTTATAATCTAACTTGAATTTAATTTTCATATAGTTCCAACTTCTCTTTGTTCCTTATGATCTTCCAATTATTCCAGCACCATTTATTGAGAAGATGGTCCTTACCTACTGATGTACAATATCCACTCTATCATACATTAAGTGTCTTTAAATGGGACAAGTGTTTCTGAGACCTGCTTTATTCCACTGATCTACTTGCCTATCCCTATGCGACAATCACATTGCCTTATTTATATCGGTTTTATAATACAGAAATGATTACTAAAGCAAGTCCTCCTATCTTGTTCAAGAATGTCTCCACTATTTTAGGCCCTGTGCATTTCTGAACAATTTTAAAATCAGTTTACCAAGGCAAACAAAATTGGCAATGTACTGAATCTATAAATCAATTGGAATAACTCTCAACTTTTTAATTTTGTCTTCTAATCCATGATTTATTTATATTTATTTAGATATCCACTTACTTAGATTTCCCAAAAGTCTCTAAAAAAGTTCGACAATTTTCCCAAAGAGGTCATACATATTTCTTATCAAATATTTATCAAAAATTTCATGCTTTCAATGCTTTTCTAAATGGCATCCTTTTAAAATTTCACTTAAAAAAACAAAGTATAGATTTACAATGTCTGCATATTAATTTTTGTATTCAGTAACATTATAAATTTTATTATTTTAATACTTTACCCATAGATTCTTTTGGATTTTCTACATAAAATCATGTGATCTGCTTTAAGGACAGACACTTGTTTCTTTTTTCCAAGTTTTCCAATCTTTATACTTACTACTACTTTTTCTTGACTTACTGTGCTGGATAGGATACCTGGTACAATGTTGCAAATGTCACAATTTTTTATTGGTACTATGCTAGTATTTTTAAGCTGAAAATTTCCTAAAACAAGAAGTGTATATATATTAATCTCTACATAGACATAAACCCTATGAAAACCCAATATGAACTCAATACTTACTGAAAGATTAGATCTACATTTTTAACTTTAAATGTTGTGCAGTTCAAGAATAACATTATAAAGAAAGCTGATGATCAGTTAGGAATATATTCTGCTGTAAGAAACAAAACCTAACAAAAGTGACTTAAATAACATGGATGTTTACTATGTCATTCAACAAGAAAATGAAAGGTAAGTGTCTGTTGGCATTGGTTCAGCAGCACAAGGACGTTAGGGCAGACTTATGCTATGTTTATGGCCTTTCCTTCAGGGTCACAAGATGACCGCAGCAGCTCCAGGTATCACATTTGAGTTTAAAAGCAGGAAACAGAGAAGGGACAGCTGAAATCTATCCTTTTATGAGAAAGACAAATGCTTTCCTAGGTGTAAACAAGACTGATTTCACCATATTTTTCACTGAAAAAAACTAGCTCATATGGATATCCCAAGAAGCAATGGAGAGTGGGAAGCAAAATAGATAATTGTCTTAATTAACTTCAACCTATCACCTGAGATTGGACACACTGCTACCCCAAACCAAATTGTGGTACTATTAACAAGAAAGATAGGCTATCAAATGTAAGTGTCTGCTACAGTGATACACGTTTTTTTACTTCTTTCTTAATTTCACATTTACAGACACTAAAATTAGAAATAACCTGCCACTAATGCCAACCAAAGATTCCTGTTATAGTAATTTTACATATTGTCTAGAAGTATTCTCATTAAAAACTTCAAGGAATTTTAATTAGTTTTTAAAAAAAAATCCCCACAAGGATAAAAGAGAGGCGGGGCGCCTGGGTGGCTCAGTCGTTAAGCGTCTGCCTTCGGCTCAGGTCATGATCCCAGGGTCCTGGGATCGAGCCCCGCATCGGGCTCCCTGCTCAGCGGGAAGCCTGCTTCTCCCTCTCCCACTCCCCCTGCTGTATTCCCTCTCTAGCTGTGTCTCTGTCAAATAAATAAATAAAATCTTTAAAAAAAAAAAAAAAAGAGAGGCCTTTAAGATATTTTATTTATTTTTTATTTTTTTGGCTTTAAGATATTTTAGTGACAGCTCTAGTTTCTGGTTGCGCGATACCAGCTAAGTTTTTGAAAAAAATAAATTTATAAAATCCCATATTAATCAATTAATCTCATAATTATCCTTTTCATTTAATCAGAAAATGTCAGCCAGTCCTTATAAGCCCACTGAGAGATCTTTTAATACGGTAATCTTACCTCAGGTATGCACCATATATGAAGAACAATCCCATCATTACTCCATTTAAAATAAAAATCACAGCAACATAAAAGCAAGCAGGGTCTCCCAATCCTTTAAAAAAACAGATTATTCAGTATTTAATGAATAAATGACTATAAAGCAATTGGGCATAATTATCTCAGTGCTTTATAATCAAGGGTTCATGAACTTGCTGAAAACATTCACTGTTCAGATTGCTGCTCTATTTAAGAGTTACAGAAGTACTTTCCCTTTACTTGAGGTATTATTATACTGTAATGATTAGCTGGTGCTTCACTTTGTTTAGGTGATGCTGCTATTGTTCATTATCTACAACTCTCTGTGGAGAGTCACCGCATACATTACAGGAGAAAACCCACTGCATTGTTTTTTCCTTTGCTAGGCTCTAGGATGAGTAAGATATGGCCCCTGACCTCAAGCAGCACCTTTAGTCCATATGAGATGACCTAGTTCCTTGATCCATTATTATGTATAGAAAAAACCTTAATTCTTAATATATCCCATGTATAAACAATGTGTGTGTGTGTGTGTGTGTGTGTGTAAACACACATATAGTCTATTAGGTGCTATACAATGATCACACAGAATTCTCAGAACGGATCTATGAGATTAGTTAGTAAGAAAATACTCTTACTACTGACTGAGATAACAGAACACAGAAAACTTAAATAGCTTGCCAAAAGTTATTTAGGTGTAACTGATGGAGCCAAGATCTGAAGGCTGGCTTTTCTGATTCCTTCTACTTCTCTGACCATTCCTTTTCAGTCTGCTGTAATAACCTCCTCCATTACACACCACACCTCTTCACTGTTGGATCACCTTAGGTTCTGTCATAGGCCCTCCTCTTTTCTCAATCTGCATATTCTCCTTAAGGAAATTCTTTTTTTTAATATTTTCACTCATTTTATTTAAATTCAATTAGTTAACACATAGTGTATCATTAGTTTCAGATGTAGAGTTCAGTAATTCATCAGTTGCATATAACACCCAGTGTTTATTACATTATGTGCCCTCATTAATGTCCATCACCCAGGTACCCCATCCCTCCCACCTCCCCTCCAGCAACCCTCAGTTTCCTATGGTTACGAGTCTCTTATGGTTGTTTTGTCTCCCTCTCTGATTTTGTCTTATTTTATTATTCCCTCCCTTCCCCTCTGATCCTGTTTTGTTTCTTAAATTCTACATATGAGTGAAACCATATGATAATTGTCTTTCTCTGACTGACTTATTTCGCTCAGCATAATACCCTCCAGTTTCATCCATGTTGATGTAAATGGTAAGATTTCATCCTTTTTGGTAGCTGGGTAATATTCCATTGTGTGTATATATATATATATATATATATATATATATATATATATATATATATATATACCAGATCTTCTTTATCCATTCATCTGTTGATGGACATCCAGGCTCTTTCCATAGTTTGGCTATTGTGGACATTGCTGCTATAAACATTGGGGTGCAGGTGCCCCTCTGGATCACAACGTTTGTATCCTTTGGGTAAATACCCAGTAGTGCAATTGCTGGGTTGTAGGGTAGCTCTACTTTTAACTTCTTGAGGACCGTCCATACTGTCTTCCAGAGTGGCTGTACCAGCTTGCATTCTCACCAGCAGCATAAGAGGGTTCCCCTTTCTCCACATCCTCACCAACATCTGTCGTTTCCTGTCTTGTTAATTTTAGCCAGTCTCCACAGTGTAAGGATAGAGGGAACATACCTCAATATCATTAAAGCCATATACAAAAAGCTTCCCACAGCGAGTATCATTCTCAATGGGGAAAAACTGAGAGCTTTCCCCCTAAGGTCAGGAACACGATAGGGATGTCCACTATCACCACGGCTATTCAACATAGCACTAGAAGTCCTAGCCTTAGCAATCAGACAACAGAAGAAATAAAGGACATCCAAATTGGCAAAGAAGAAGTAAAACTCTCTCTCTTCGCAGATGACATGATACTTTATGTGGAAAGCCCAAAAGACTCCACCCCAAAATTGCTAGGTCTCATACGGGAATCCTTAAGGAAATTCTTATACTTCCAAGGCTCCAATGATCATCTGTATACAGATGACTCCAAGTTTATATTAGACCAGAACTTTCTTCTTCCTATATATGTCCAGGCAGGTAGCCACTTGACACTTCCACTTTGAGGTCTCCCAGGTACTTCAAACTACCGTAGCAATTCAAACCTGCTACTTTTAAAATGTTTTTACCATTCAAAGAAACTCAATTACTTAAGCCAGAAACCGGTGTTACATGACTTCACTCTCCTTCCCCTCTCCCATCAATCCATTACCAAATCTTGTCAATTCTGCTTCCAAAATCTCCCAGATATCTGCATTTTCCAGTTATCCGTCTTGCAATCAGCTGCTGAGAGAATAACAGTCTCCTCTCTGGCATCACTGAACCCACTTTTGTCCTTTACTAGTATCTTTTCCATATAACTGGCAAAATAATGTTTTTAAAATGTTAACTTGCTAAAATTCTTCAATGAGTAAAGTATAAAATCCTTAGCCAGCAAGTGGTCTTTTGTTTTCTGACTCTTGCTTACATTCCCAGCATCATTTCACACCATTTTTCTCTCTTTCTCTCTCTGCACCCAGAAGTCTAGCCTTCTTTCAGTTTTCTCTCGCCTTGGGACTTCTGAATATTCTGGTTCCTATTCTTGAAACACTTCTCCCTTACTCCTAACCTTAGCAATCTCATTTTCTTATTTGTAACACCCATCGCATTGTAACTACTAATGCTCTTCTTATGTGTAAACTCTGTGAAGGTGAGGTCCGTGACTACCTGGGGCATCTTGATCCCAACAGTAAATACTAACTTATCACTCAGTGACAACTTAATGAATATCATATATGCACATATATACAATTAATGACAACACAGCAACATTTTAGAAAGAAACATGCCTTCACAACTTTGAACTTCATTTAAAGGTTCTACTCTGGTGACATTCCAGCAGGTCTTAGCTTCTAGCCCAAATAAATTCATTATTCCCACAAATGTGCGATACCAGAAGGCTATAATCACCTACAAAGACAAAAACAAAAAGAGGTGATGGAAGAAAAGATCCTATCTTCATAATAATAATTTTTCCAAAATACTATTTTATGATGGTTTCCTTTGACATTATAAACTTTGACAAATTTATTTAAGTCATTTCATTTGGAAAACAGTCATTTTAAAATTATATATATATACATACAATAAACTAAATTTGTATATTACTGATTAGTGCACATCTACAAAAATTTGTTATGATCACCATCTCTGTAGTATATTCTTTGATCAATTCTACATAAAAAACAGTAGCTGTAAAATAAGTAAATAGCTTATAATTAAAATATGATGGTGATTAATAGGAAAATACAATGATTTACAGGAATATTTCATAACATTTCATTTATTGAATTTATTTGCTTCACAGTCTAAAAAATATAAAACCAACTACATATGGAATAATAGCTCCTGTGCCCATTAAAACTTTGACCAAGCAGGTGTCATTAACCAATTCTTCCCATTCTGCAAACCACTTTGTGAAGTTTAAAGACAAAGGAAAAGAACAACCATAGAAAACTACAAACAAAATGGTCATGCCTGGGAGATTTTTTTTTAATAATTTATAGATTTGGGAAAAATAAAGCAAAATCATTGGGAAAAGAATAAAAAAATAAAGAGTTCAAAGTGAAAAGTGAAAACCACCCAGAGCTAACTATTTTTAATATTTTGGTGATCATCCTCCCAGTCTCCCCCTTGGTATATAAAAACACATAGCTAGATCCGGTATCCTATAATATTATGTAAGATGTTAACATAATACACATCACCAAACATCATAAATATCTTTCCATATACAAAAAGTGTAAATTCATTATTTTATCACTTACTCTTATAAACCTGACCTTATACAAAAAAATTGTAATATATTCTTGTGTATTTATCATCCATGTACAAAAACTTACCACATTAAATGTATGTACTAAATCTAGAATTGTATTCCTTTCTGAGAGATAGTTTGATATAATAAGAAAACACTGCTTTAAAGTCAGAATTGAACACAAATTCTGACTCTGCAAGTTATGGTTTGATATCCTGAAGTAAATCCTTCAACCTCTGAATGTTGGCCACCTCATCTCTAAAATGATGTTAATAATAACCACCTTGCAGGAGTGATGAGGGATTAGAGCTTACATGCTGGCATATAGTTAAGCATTAAATGCTTTGCCTTTTCAAAATACATTATTCCAAACTTAACACTTTTAGCTTTGGGTGAGAAATTAATCTCCTTATGAACACAAAAAGTATGGACATTCATTTCAACACTGAAGTAACATATAAGGTTGCAACCATATCTAGATCTTCTCCATATTGTATCTATGCAATGTGAAATAAGACCGAATGATTCCTTGTTGCCTCATCCTTTATGATACTATTTACGTTATCAGATTACTTTTTCATAACATCAAGGAGACTGAAAACTGCTAATTATTCAATATCTTTGAATAAGTAAAAGGAAAAAATTAGCTAATGTCTTAGAGAACATAGTTAGAAATTAATGGAACAAGAAACGATTTTACTAAAGTTCTAAAAATAACCCTAAAACTAGTGTAATAAGCTAAATCCTCATCTTATACACACAGAATAAATCAACATTAACTAAAATTGAAGATTCGAGAAATCGGTTGTCTTTTAAATTTTTGCACTTACACTAGAGTCATACAGATAATCATCAGAGGAAATAAGAACAGAAGAGTGTCTCTGAAGGTAAGCTGGGATATAAAGAAAGCTGGTGCAGAAAACAGCTTCTTTCATCTTAGAACTTAGGTCTATACTATACAATTGTTACTACTAAAAATTACATTGAAAAATACTTACAGAAATAAAAAAAGGGGGGGCACCTGGGTGGCTTAGTCACTTAAATGTCTGACTTTTGATTTTGGCTCAGGTCATGATCTCAAGGTCGTGAGATCGAGCCTCGTGTCAGGCTCCACACTGGGCATGGAGCCTGCTTAAGATTTTCTCTCTCCTTCTCCCCTTACCCCTCCCCCACCTCTTTTTTCCCTCTCTAAAAAAAAGGAAAAAAAGAAATCTGGGAAGCCCCCAAGTACTTGGAAATTAAACAACATAATACTAAATATCCAATAGATCAAAGAGAAAAATCAATGGGAAATTAGAAAATAACTTGAACAGAACAAAAAAATGAAAAACAATATATAAATAGTTAAATAATACAAATTTCTGCTTTGGAGAAGATGGAGTAGACGTACTTTCTGCTATTTCTTCTGGGAATTATATAAATCAAACATAAGAAGACCCTGAAAGGTAGAGAGAAGGCAAACTACCTAGGGATCTTAGGACCCAAGGAACAACATGGTGATGAGTTTCCTGGACTTTCCTTTTGCCTCATTTTCTCAGATTTGGAGTTAAAGAGCCTGACAACCAGAAACACCAATGGGTTCAGACACAAAAAAAGACTGACAAAAGCCTGTTCTCTCTAGCTAAAGGACCAGGAAAGTGGCAGCCTAGGAATACATAAAAACTTTATAAACAATAATCTCTCCCCTCACCCAAATACCACAGAAAACAACAATAACAACAACAAAAACCCATATGGTCCCCCCAATAAAGGTCAAATTGGGAACTAGACTTCAACCTTCTCTAAGCTTTTAATAAGTCATCTCAACTCACCCACTAAAATGTTGTTAAGAAAAAGCCAAGTAGGACGCTCTCTATCCCCACGGTGTCAGTACAGACCATGTAAGGAGCCTGGACTTCTACCCCAACCAGCAGTAAGTCATCCTTTCCCCTTCCCAGTGTGGTAGTGTAAGAGAAGGCTTAGTGAGGAGTCAGGGCTTTCATTATCACCCAGGGGTAACAAGGCTATCCACACCATGGTGTCTACAGAGATCAGAGTTGGTCAGAACTCTGATCCCACTCAAAGGTAACGAGGAATACCTCTACCTTGGGGTCAACAGAGGCCAGGAGAGAAACCTGGACTTCGATACCCAACTGGCAATAACAAGATGGCAAACGTCGTCCTTCCTTTGCTGGAGTGATGCCAAAGAAAGCCAGCTAAAACTAAGGTTTAAATAAGATCCAGTTTCATAAAATAATGATCAAATGTCCATCAACAAATGGACATTGATGTCCAATATAATGAAACTCACTCATCATATCAAGAACCATAAGGATCTCAAACTGAATGGAAAAAAATCAAGAGATTCCAAAAATGAGATGACAAAAATATTAGAATAATTGCTCCAATGAGAAATTATGAATGTACTGGAAACAAAAACCCAGAAAGTCTCAGGAAAGAAACAGAAGATATGAAAGAAACAAAAATTTCAGAACTGAAAAATACAATAACCAAAACTAAAACTCAATGAATGAGCTTAACAGCTGAATGAAGGGATAGAGGAAAATAATCCATGAACTAATAGACAAAGCAACAGAAATTGCTCAATCTGGGCAACAGAGAAAAAAAAGATTTGAAAAAAATAATAATAATAAGGTTCCCTAGGGACCTCTGGGACTATAAGAAAAGATCTAACATTTGTTATCACTGAAGTCTTGGAAGGAGAAAAGAAAGAAGAAACCAAAGCTGAGCAAAACAAAAATAGGATAAAACCAAAGAAATCCACACCAAGACACATCACACTTTTGGAAAACTTTTAAACATCATACTTCTGAACACTTGTGAAAACTAAAAAAATAGATAGATAGCAACAAGGAAGAAAAAAAAATCTTATCTAAAGAAGAAAAACAGGGTGCCTGGGTGGCTCAGATGGTTAAGCGTCTGCCTTCGGCTCAGGTCATGATCTCAGGGTCCTGGGATCGAGTCCCGCATCGGGCTCCCTGCTCCTTGGGAGCCTGCTTCTCCCTCTGCCTCTCTCTCTCTCTCTGTCTCTCATGAATAAATAAATAAAATTAAAAAAAAAAAAAGAAGAAAAACAATTCAACTGACAATAGATTTCTCATCAAAAACCACGAAAGGCCAGAATAAAGTAGCATAATTATCAAATGCTGAAAGAAAAAAACTGTCAACCTAGAATCCTATATCCAGCAAAAAAAAAAAAAAAAAAGTCTTCAAGAATTAAAGGGAGTTTTACATGAAGGATGAAACAAAACTAGTAAAGTATGTTGTTAGCAGACTTACCCTAAAAGAATAGCTAAAGAAAATTCTCTAAACAGAAATGAAATTATAAAAGAAGGCATCTTAGAACATAAGGAAGAAATTTAAAAAATGGATAAAATAAACTTCACTTTTCGAGTTTTTTAAAAATAAGTTTGAAGGCTAAAAGAAACATCATAGTACTGTCTGATGTGGTTTTAAATGGATGTAGAAGAAATATTTAAGATGATGATGTTATGAAGGGAGAAGGGTAAAGAGATGTAAAGAGAGGTAAGGTTTCTGCACCTCATTTGAACTAGTAAAATGAGAGCAGGAGTAGACTGTAGTAAGTTATGTACAGGTAATATACATAATATAGTGAGGTCACAGGGCAAACTCCTATTCCCCATATTGGAGACTGACAGGCAAATTGAGAGAATCACAACTTAGTGGAACATAAACCCATGAGCAAAAACCTCCATGGGAAGCAGTTGGAGAGTAGGGAAAAGCTAAACTATAATTGATAAATTGCTGGAGGCATAAGGTAGACAAGTCTGAGAGTCAAAAATTCCAGGGAGACCCCATAATAGGGGAAATGCCAGCACATTTATGAGTTTTACTTCTAGGAGCTCACCAGGCTCCTACAGCGAATATCAGAGAAAAATCTCCTGCTTTTGGCAAGGGGTAGTAGAAAAATGACCATTTTGAAATACACCAGAGCACTCTCTTCTTCTTAACAAAGCCTGCCTCAGGAGAAATTATTTTACTAGAGCCTAACCTACTAAGGTTTTATCAGAGCCTAACAGAGAGGGAAGCAGGGAAATACCCAATTCCAGCCCCTTCTAGCCATCCTGTTGCACCTAAGCAGGAGAAAAAACCTGAGAACTTGTGACATTCACAGCCCAGAGGCACAGGTTCATAAAAGACTGACACCTAGTGAGAGGATTACAGAATACTTCCTTTTTTTTTTTTTAAAGATTTTTTATTTATTTATTTATTTGAGAGAGAATGAGATAGAGAGAGAGCATGAGAGCAGGGAGGGTCAGAGGGAGAAGCAGACTCCCTGCTCAGCAGGGAGCCCGATGGCGGGACTCGATCCTGGGACTCCACGATCATGACCTGAGCCGAAGGCAGTTGCTTAACCAACTGAGCCACCCAGGTGCCCCCAGAATACTTCTTACCACCACACTACTAAAAGCCTATTTACAGCAGTTCTTATTACTCAGGACATCAGGTCCAGCTATTAAGAAACAATTACAAGGCATACTAAAAGCCAAAAACACAGCTGAAGAAATAGAACAAGCATCAGAAACCAGACATGGCAGGGATGTTGGAATTATCAAATTGGGAATTTAGAACAACTATGATTAATATGTTAAAAATTATAATGGATAAAGTAAATAGCATGTAAGAAAAGATAGGTAATGTAAGCAGAAAGAAAGAAATTCTTAAAAAGTACCAAAAAGAATTGCTAGAGATCAAAAACACTGTAACAGAAATCAAGAATGCCTTTGATTGACTTATTAGTAGACTGGACATAGCTGAAGAAAAATCCCTGAGCCTGAGTTTATTTCAATAGAAACCTCTAAAATTGAAAAGCCAAAATAAAAAAGACAAAACAAAAAAACAACAACAACACGGGGTGCTTGGGTGGCTCACTCTTTAAGCCTCTGCCTTCAGCTCAGGTCATGATCCCAGGGTCCTGGGATCAAGCCCAGGTTCTGGCTCCCTGCTCAGTGGGGAGTCTGCTTAGGCCTCTCCCTCTGCCCCTCCCCACCTCATGCTCACACACATGCTCTCTCTCAAATAAATAAAATCTTTAAAAACAAATAAACAGTAACAACAAAAAACCCCTGGAATATTCAAGAACCATGGGACAATAAAAGGTGTACCATACACATAATGGGAATACCAGAAGGAGAAGGGAGAAAGGAACAGAAGAAATATTTGAAATGACTCAGGAGTCCCTCAAATTGATGTCAGATACCAAACCACAAACCAGGAAGCTCAGAGAACACCAATCAGGATAAGTGCCAAAAAATGACACCGAGGCATGTTGTATTCAAACTACAGAAAATCAAAGATAAAGAAAAAATTCTGAAAAAAGCCAGAAAAAAAAAAAGACACATTACTTAATGGGAGTAAAGATAAGAATTACATCTGACTTTTCCTCAGAAACCATTCAAACAAGAAGAAACTGGGCTGCTGCTATATTTAAAGTGCTGAGAGAAAAAAAACAACTTAGAATTCTGTATCATGTGAAATTATCCTTTAACAGTGAAGGAGAAATAAAGATTTTCTCAAACAAAAATTGAGGGACTTTGTACAAAAGTTCTTTAGAGGGGACAAAAAAAGATATAGATCAGAAACTTACATTTCCATAAAGAAAAAAGCGCATCAAAAAAAGAAAAGTGAAGATAAAAATAGAAACTTTCCTTTTTCCTACTCTTAATTGATCTAACATATAAGCTTTGTTCAAAATAGTAATAGCAACAATGTATTCAACTATGTATAATTATGAATGTGTGTATGCTTGTGTATAGGTGACATGAATGACAGAAAGGATTCAGGGGTTGGGAGGGAGGAATTACAATTATTTTGTTATTATAAGGTACTGACACTACCCAGGAAGTGGTTTAATATTATTTGAAAGAGGTCCTGGATTAGTCATAAATGTATATTATAAACTCTAGGGCAGCCAAAAAGTGTAAAAAAAGAATTATAACTGATATCCTAAAAAAGGAGAGAAAATGCAATAATATAAAAGCTCAATTAAAACCACAAAAGGCATAGAAAGAATGGAAGTAAAAACAGTAAAAAGAACAAAGGCAACAAATAGAAAATAGTAACAAATATAGTAGATATCAATCCAACTTTATCAATTATCACTTTGAATGTTAATGATATAAATGTACCAATCAACAGATAGAAATTGTCGAAGTGGATCAGAAAAGAAGACCCAACCACATGTTATCTAAAAGAAACCAACTTTAAAAATGAATACACCTATACATTAAAAGTAAATGAATGGAGTAAGATATACTACACTAAAACTAATTAAAAGAAAGTGGGAGCAGCTATACTAATTCCAAACAGAGCAGACTTTACAATAAGAAAAGTTATCAGGGGTAGAGAGTGGTATCACATAATAATAAAGCAGTCCATTCTACACAACATAATCCTTAATGTGCATGCATGCATCTAACAACAGAGCATCAGTAAAATTGATATATCTCTAGCCAGCCTGAGGAAAAAAGAAGACATGAATTACAAATATCTGAAATGAAAGAAGAGGACGTCACTACATATCCCATGGACATTAAGCAGATAATAAAGGAATAATAAAAAAACCCTTTGCCCAAAAATTTCACAATCTGATGAACCAATTCCTTGAAGGACACACTCTTGCCAAAACTCACATAAAAAGAAACAGACAATCTGAATAGGACCATATTAAATTTAATTGATAATTAATAACCTTCCAAATCAGAAAGCACAAGGCCCAGATGGGGTCACCAGTGAACTGTACCAAAGAAAATATACCAGTTCTCTAGAATCTCTTCCAAAAGATACAGCAGAGGCAATACTTACGAACTCATTTGTTGAGGCCAGCGTTATGCTAACATCAAACCAGAAAAAGGTATTATAAGAAAACTACACACAATATCTTTCATGAACATAGATCCTCAAAAAAAAAATTAGCAAATCAAATCCAACAGTGTATAAAAATTATACACCCTGACCAAGTGGGATTTACTGCAGGTATGTAAAGCTGGTTCAAAATTTGAAAATCAATTAATATAATCCATCATATCAACAGGCTAAAGAAAAAAAATTACAAGATCATATCAACAGACCCAGAAGAAGCAATTGACAAAATTTAACACTTATTCAAGATCTTAAGAAAACTCTCAGTAAACCATGAATAGAGGGAACTTCCTTAACTTGATAAAGAATATCTACCAAAAGCCCACAGCTAAAATCATACTTAATGATGAGAAACTTGAAGCTTTCCCACTAAGATCAGGAACAGAGCAATGATGTCCCATCTCACCACTCCTGTGATGAGACGACTCAATAGAGGACAGGCTAGTTATCACAAAGGAGCATGTGGAAACTTCTTAGAATTATGAAAATGTTGTATAATTCAACTGTGGTGGCTATACAATTTTACACATGTGTCAAATGTATAACTCAAAGAACGGTACATTCAAAACAGGTGCATTTTATTGCATGTAAGTTATACCTCAACAAAAATTAAATAAAAAGTAGCCAGAGACAAGATATGTTCAGCACATATATTACTAAGGATTACTCTACAAAATACATAAATTTTGCCAACAAATCAGTAAGAAAACAACTACCAAGTAGTGATAAAGATTTATACATGTTATTGATAGAAGAAAAATCCAAATGACTATTAAACATGAAAATATTCTTAGCTCCACAAATAATAAGGGAAGTACAAATTAAAATAAACAGTATATCACACCCATTAGAAGAGCAAAACCAGAAATTTTGATAAACTGAAATCTAATAAGGATATGAGGAAAAATAAATACTCCTACACAGCAGTGTGAATGGCTACATTTGCTTCAGAGAGCAATTTAGCAATATCTGACAAAGTCAGCAAAATATATACTCTGTAACACAACAATTCTACTTTTAGAATATCCTACAACAAATCTTGCACATATACACAGTTAGAAAACACATACTAGAACATATGTTTTGGAACTATTTATTATTTAAAGCCTGGAAACAATATCCACGAGGAGGGAAATGTATAAATAATCTTGGAATTCATAAAATGGTTAAAATTAAAGAAAAAATATACATATACACAGCATTCAAAAATATAACGTTGAGGAAAAAGTTATGGAGTGTTTTATTCAGTATAAGAGCATTTATGTGGATTTACAAAAAAATCCTTAAAAATAAGGAACAATGAAAACACATTACATTCATGATGATGATACTTGTGGGAATGGGAAAGGAGCAAACTCAACTGGAAGCAAAACAAAGATGACTGACTGTATTTATAATGCTTTAAGATACCTGAAGCAAAAATTACAAAAGAGTAGCATTTATTCATTCGAGGTGGTTGATCACACCTTTGCTTATTTTCTCAAAGTTTCTGTAATTTTCAACATTTCAAAATCAAAAAAATAGTAATTTTAAAGCTATAAAATAAGAAAAGTCTAAGAAGCACTAATCTTTAAAAATGTGCTAGATTCTGTGATAACTTAAAAGTAGTGCATACCATGACATCAAATTAGCATTTATCTTAAGAGTTCAAAAACTGAACTTACTAATTTTTTGTCATTGTTCCAATTTCTAGAATCTGCAGACTACCATAAAATCCATACTCTTTTAGGCTAAGCATTGGAAGATATTCATAGACCTCTGACTATGTGACTAAATAAATCTTGCTCTATTAATGTAACTCCAAGGTCACTGGTCTGCTCTTAACTTTCAGTGCTCCTTCATGAGACCAGTATGTCCATTCACAGGGTCTCCAAAGCCAAGAGACCACCTCCATTTAGAACACATTTTGCTCTTTCCCATTTGGCTCCTCTGATTATGCTGGTCATTACTTCCACACTAAGATTCGTTTCTTTGACTTTATGTAAGCATAGTTTCTGGGGTCTTTAAAATTTAGGAGAGGAATTTTTGATACTCATACAATCAATAAACCTTAAAGGTTCCCTCCTTTTATAAGGAGGGACATACAGTGTCACATACAATCAATAAACCTTAAAGGTTCCCTCCTTTTTATAACATCATTGTACTTACTATTTTTATCTGATACAAACGGATCATTCTACAAATATTTTCCCCCAAATGGTACTCACCTCTGGATAAAGGTGGAAGCGTTTCACTGTATTAATTACAAGGGGATATTCAGTGAGCCTGTCGTTCATTATCATCCACAGTCCTTCCAAAAATGAAGGTGCTTCAATAATGGTCTTGAAGTAGGAATAATAAAGTCCCTTAAAAATGCACAAATTGTTGATGTAATTAAATATGAACATTTTTAGAACAATTTCTTCTGAATAAAAGGAAAAGGTCAATAATAAGACTTCCTAATTTCTCCTTGCTACTGCATTCTTGGGCTCAAAAAAAGGCATGCCTTTTCAGGTTATCACTGTGCTATACTTTCATACTTTCTGTATGTTTGAAAAAGAGTGGGAGGCGTGGTTAAATGCTTTAAGGAGTTTTTCTGACCATGGCTTAAAACATGAATACAATATATTTTTAGCATCAGCATGCCTGATTTTGCCACATTACGAGAGATGCCTAGAGGCTGAGATCTGATGAATTCTGGCATAAATAGAGATGTCTTCATGTCCTTGTGCAACTTTGTATATAGATAATTACTTTTTTTACACCTCTTAAGAAATAACATGCAATGATCATAAGCAAAAATGAGACAGAACTTAATGCTTGCAACCTACTTCCTAGCTCCATCTAACAGCTCTGCACATGTCAAATGTTATGTCAAAATAAATGTCAATTGACAGCTGTTGTTCATGACACAAATGCAGTCCGGAAAAAGGGATTAACTTAGTGTATTATTCCAGCACAGGAAATAATGACTTTATTAGGCCAGCAAAAGTGCTGTTTAGTTCAAATTCAGAGATTAACAAAAGCATGTGGTTTCATATTACTTTCTTCATCAATTTCCTGCTTTTTTCCCTAAAATCTAAAAGCAAATAAAGGGCCACACTGTTTGTAATACATGCTCCCAAAAACATTAGAAACAATCTTTAGCTCTACACTCATTCATGCCTCTACAAGGACTTGGTTTTAACAGATGAAGCAATGCCAGCGGCTACTAAGTTGAAGTTCTGCTTTAGCTGACGTCTGAAAGAGCTTTTCCTCATATTTTTGATTGGTAAATATGAGGGCACATAAGGATTGTTCCTCTCTGCTTAGAAGGATAAGACAATACTACAGCAAAAGGATATTTAATATGTAGAAGTCTACATTTAGAGAAATAGGAAATACACAAATACGCTTTTATTAATAACATCTACTGTTTTTTGTGCCAGGTACTGTGTTAATGGGCTTCATTCATTATCTCCCTTCATAGTCAATAAAATCCTGTAAAGCTAGCATTATTTCTAGACAACAGATGAGATTACTGAGAATCAGAGAGGTTAACTGACTAGCCATCACACAAGGAAGCACAGACCTGCTATCTGAACCCAGTTATTTGTCATCAAAGCCCAGACTCTGCCACAGCTACACAATTTACTTAAGAATATCTTATATGCTCTCTTCGGAAATAATACCTATAAAATACTAAAAATTTAAATGCCATGCAAATGCTAATGTACCCATTTTCTCAAAGGATTAAGTGGGATATTAGGGTGAGATTTAAAAAGCAGTGGGTGAGGTACCTCCATTAGACAAATCTGCAGAGACAGAAAGTAGAACAGAGGTTATAAGGGGCTGGGGACAGGGGCATGGGGAGTTGGTGTTTAACAGATATAGTTTCTGTTTGGGAAAATAAAAAAGTTCTGGAGATGAATGGTGGTGAGGACAAGCAATTTCTGATAACATTCAGTACCCCTATACCACTTCTTAAATGTTGTCTTTGCTCTCCTTCTTCCCTAGCTATTCTAATTGATCTTTTTTATATTTAAAAGAAGTCTGCATTAGAAAAGTAGAGTATTAAAAAAAAAAGAAAAAGAAAAGAAAAGTAGAGTATTGAGGTAAGTAAAAGAATCCTAAAACCTTTTCTATTTACATAATAAACCTAGGTTATAGCTTGAGAAATAGTGCAGTTCAACAAAAATTCATTTCAGTTCCTAATAAATGTCTACCTTATAGTCTTACTGTTCTTAAACTACAAATTAATTTATTATAAGAAACTAACCATTTCAGTTCGAAAAGTCATCTCCCGTTCTAAAGATGATAGGTGGGAAAAATGACGATCATTTTCAAAAAGTGTTACTAAATGTATCCTAGAAAAAAAAATGAAGCACCATATTCTAAGAATAAGAACATTTCAAAACCAGTACTAAAATAGTTAACTAAGTATTAAAGTACAAAAATCATAAAAGGAAAAAGAATAAATGAGATAATTTTATAATTTGCATATTTTTAGGCATTTATGATTTCGTGTAGCACACAGCTGAAATTCCTTAACTCCTTGGTTCTTAATCGTAATTGTTTACTAAAACTCCTGTGGTATCTCTGCCCCTTCCACTCTATGCCTCTAAATCAAAGTTTAGAAAAAACTTAAAAAACCAAGTTTTTAAGTTTCACAAGTGATTCTATTGTAACAGTTTTGAGAAATGCCTCTGTGACTGTTGAAAAGCATTTGGAATATAATTTTAAATAAAATTACTTTAGATTAAAGCAGTTTAAAAATAGAATACCATGTAAGGGATCAACTTGCAAGTACCAAAGAACACAGAACTGTACTTTAAGATATTTGATTAGTGCAACTCAAGAAAACAGCTGTAGGCAGTGAAAATGGGAGCATATGTGGTAAGTAAAATTAGTCAGCAATTATGCTACCCTTAATTTACATAGTAGATGCTTTCCAAATAAATAGAAAGCCAAATTCCAAGTATCAACCCTGTCTTCCACTCACCTTGATTCACATGTGAGATATATGCCTGGGTAACAACAGCTATAGGAAATGTTTCTTCCTAGTATAGCCTTAGTTCTAAAGTCAAAATCTCCCTGCAGGGGAGACTACATGGCCAGAACAGCACTGTCCCAAAAGGATCTGATCCCACTCTTCCCAAAAGTAAAAATTCCTGGGTTCAGGTAGAAATGAAAATATATCAGAGGAAAAATATTGTTTTACTTATAATTTTTACAAATAGGTGACTTGTGTAAATTAAGGTACATGTACACACACGCTGAAAGGCTCATTTAATCTGTATTACAACAGCTGAGGCTTTATTTTCATTTCTACCTGATTTCTAATTGACAGGTGTTACTAAAACTTTATTTCTAAGCTAATGTCACTAAGAACACACAATTACTGTAAAATAAGAGTTTAAGATGAAATAAACATGCAAAGTACACTAGAAAAGCTAGAAATTAAAGAAATAAAGTGGTGAATTCTTTGGTAACACAAAAATATTTTAATTCCTAAATACTATTCCTCTAATGCATCCATTTTGTAAATTCTGCTTCACGTGTTTTTTTAAAAAATTACATGTACACAGAATGTGCACAAACACATTCTATACACATAGCAAGTGGCTATTTTATTGTATGCAAACAGCAATGTCAATTTTTAATCCAAATGTTTTTATTTAAAACTGAAACAAATCTTACCAGTGCAAAACTCCCACAAATGCAGCTGGAAAAACAAAAACAAAAGGTCATTAAAAGCTGCTTTATTATAATATACCTTTAAAACAACTATTTCAAATGCATTCCCTTATATGCCTAAAGAGAGAGCACACACAAGGAAGATGGCTAGCTAATTCTCTCTATATAAAATAGGAAAAATTTACAAACAGACATAAAACAAATTGTGAATAGTGTTTACCTCTGGGGGGGGTTCAAAGAGCAAAGGGAAGCTTGGAAGACTATGTTTCATTTACATAACTTGCAAAAAAAGTGATGAAATTATTAATGATTTTGACCTTTTGGGGGGATTTTCACTTTATTCTCTCTTCTCCCTCTTCTTTCTCTATTTCTTTACATACATTTTTTAAAACAAGCACATATATACACGTGCTCAGCTCAATCCTTTCAGAAGTGACTCTAGCCTACAGGCTAGTTCACTCTAAACCACCTTCCCCGTGCTCCTCAGAAATTGTTAAACGCAGGAAGTCGATTCCTCAGCAGCGCAGCTGAAAACCCCTATTTATGGAGTTTTGATTGTTCCCAGACTACTGGGAGATTCATCTAGAGTCGCCCGGTCTGCACCCTATGCATGAGGCTTTATCAGAGGGTGTAGAGATGGGTAAAACAGGAACACCACTGTGGGTATGGGTCTTTCTGAGGAGCTGCAAACACTGTCTGTCCCCTCTGGTGGCTGGGATGCTGGTTTTCAAGGACACCATAAAACTGGGAAGGGGGCACAGGATGAGGCCAAATTAAAAAGCCACAAACCCCATTGTTCTTACACAATTGCAGTAGTGTTTTTGAATACATGCTCTTTAGGATGTTGTGAACCTTTGGTTAATTTATAAAGTTTTGAAAAGTTGATTCTGACAATTTTCCAAGTATTTTTGTCACTATCACAGAGGAGTGAATTTACTCAGCTATTCCTAAACTCCTGCCTCCCCTCCTATTTTATAATAGTACTATTTTATAATAGTACTTCTTCTGGTTGTCCCAAATATACTTGGCAAGTCATTTTAACAAACCACCAACTTTAACCTCTTAAAAATTCAAGAAATTACCTTGACTAACAAAATAAATGTAAATCGATATATTAATAACAATAACAAATTATAATTTTGAAAAAAAATTCCCAATCATGCTTCTCCAGCTCTTGTTCTCCATATTCCTAACCATCCTGGGCTTATTCCTACCACTCTTCATTACTTCTCAGAAGACTTGCTTGTTTTATACCATGATCAGCAAACTACAGCCCATGATCTGATTCTGTACTGTCCGCAAGCTAAAAATGCTTGTCACATTTTTAAAGGGTTGTACAAATACGAAAGAAGAAGAATAAGCAATGGAGACCATATGTGGCCTGTGAAGCCTAAAATATTTACTACCTGGCTCTTTATAGAAAAAGTACATACTCACTACATACGTTAGCTCTTTCTAATATGTAATATACTCTGAACCACTTTGAAATTAAACGTATATCTTCTTTCCCAACTTGAAATGGATGTCCCTTTATCAGGCTTCATTAACTTTAAGATACATACGCCATCCTATTTCAACCATATTTCTATTCTCTTTCTTAGTCTCTAACAATTACATGTACTGGAAAAAAACTCTTAAAAATTATGTTTAAGGAAAGGGAAAAGATCAAATACCCTATAAATCCATCTAGCCTTCCAAAAATCCTCAAAATACTCTTGTGTCTTTCATTCCCTCCCCAACCCCACATTCCACACCTGAAAAAATGGTAAAGTGTAATGATTCCAGTATTCTAAATGCACGAAGCCTCTTCCAAAGATGTGATAAAAAGCATGTCTCCTGACCCTGTATCTGTCAATCTTACCTCTGAAAGTGACCTAGCCTCATAGTTCACTGAAACAGAGATCATTTGATGCAAGCACTCCCAACTTCTCTTATATCTACTTTAACATTTCTCTACATATTAATCCTCATTTTTCTATTCCCTACCATCTCAGCAAAGGAAGTATCTCTTCTCTTTTCCAGTTAGCTTCTCAAATTTGTTCCTGTAATTCCACCCTTCTCAAAATTCCAAGACTTTGTTCCATCAACTATTTCCTCTCTTGGAACCTGAATCTCACCCTCTCCCCAAGACCTTTCTCTACAGCCTTCAATTCTCCTAGGCATTAAAACACTTCCGTTGATCTAAAAGCCCTTCAACCTATGACATATTCTCTCCCCCACCCAACCCATAACCCCATTTGCTGACAAGATTTTTAGCCAGCTTCTTTCTTCTAAGTTCTTACAACTTTTTTTTAAAAAATGACCAGTGACATTTTAGTTAGCAACATCAATGGCCTCTTTAAACTCTTACGTTTTTCAAACCTCTCTGCAGCATCTGACCAGATTCTTGGATTTCTTCATCTTTTATTATACCAACTCTTCCAGTTCTTCCATGCTTCTGACCACTCTGTTTTTATATACTTTTCTGACTTTTCCTTTTCCTCTCATCTCTTAAAACTAAGTATAAGAGGTTTTCCCAAATATCTCTGCTTTGCCCACTTTTCTCTCATTGGGAATCTTAATCTTCAAGTTTTAATTCACTTCTACGTGGATAATTCCCAAATCTACAGTCCTCATTGCTAAACTTTCTCTGTCCCTGTCCTTCCACCTCACCACTTACTCAGCCCTCACAAAATGCTTCCATTGACTCTCACCTCTGTCCTCTCTTCTCCATTCCTGTTGTTGCTACCCTCTCTAAAACCACTATTGCCTGGATTCCAGCATTCAATTATTTTTTTTCTGCTTCTTTTTTCCATCCATCTCCAGTCTATTTCGCAAACCACTGCTAGGCTAATGATGTCACTCTATTTAAAAATTATTCAATGCTAACAGTGTGAATGTACTAAATGCCACGGAATTATTCACTTTAAAATGGTTAATTTTATATGATGTGCATTTCATCTCCTTTAAAAAAATTTTTTTCTTAAAGAATCAATCAGTGCCTTCTACAGAATGAAATTCAAATTCCTTAAACCAAGTTTTGAATTAGATTCTCCACTGCTGGTCCCAGCCAACCTTTTGAACTTGACTTTCCACTTCCTCTTCCTTTTGTATCCTTCCTTTCCACCTTACTTTACCTTTATGTTTTCTCACTTCTTTGACTTCAATTATGCCATTTTACTGGCCTCTAATACTTGTTTTCTGCCTCACACATCCAAATGTTAGGCTTAATATCACAGTTCCAATCCCACCTTTTCCTAAAAGTCTTCTCTGATCTCATTTCCCACCTCCAATCCTAAAGTATTAGTTTGCTCTTCTGAACTCTCCTTAGCACTTAATATACTCAGTCATTATTTCACCCAGCACTCACTGAGTGCCTTCGCTCTGCCAGACACGGGTGCTCAGGAGCTTGTGTTTGGGATGGCAAAACGGCTCCGGTATCCAAGACCATTCTGATTCTTGATGTGGGATGTTACCTGTTGCCGCAATTAGACATCTGATAAAATGTAAGTGTGAATTCCCATCTATTATTCCTCTAGTACTTGTAACACCCCAAATGTGGAGACTCGTTGTTCTTTAACATCAGCAGTCAACTTAGGATGAAAAGAAATCACAACTTACATTAGCAGACATTTCTCTTCGTTTCAACGTGTATCACTAGCCAGTCTGACCAAGGGCTAGGCTCAAATTTGATTCTAATACAACAGCAATAACATTTAAATTAACTCTTAAGCAACAGAAAACGAAGAATGTAAATAAAGAAAAATCTTTCAAGTGCTTAAGTTAGAAGAAAATTCCCCAAATCTAGGCAGTGAAGTTCCACAGCAAAATGAACGTAAATGAGTACTGACATGAGGCAATATATTGTCTAATTTGACCTTATTTCCACTATTAAAGATTCTCAACTAATTAAACCAACACTTTATTTTGCTTTAAGGTGCAAGAGGAACATGTCCGCCCCGGAGAACTAGCCTATCATTTTTACAGCCTGCGATAAATGGCTGCCCTGAGCAAAATGACATTTTGTTGGTGACACAGGGGTGATCACTATGCCCCCAAACCCTGGAAAATGTTTTAAAATAAGAACAAAGGGAGCTGGAATTCTTGTCAGCGATTTTCCCGACCTTGGACCTTGTCATTAGGACTGCCCAGCTTGTTTGTTAAGCTGATCTTTAAGACTCACCCAAACCACTTGAACCCGAGGCTCAGAGGGCATCCTCCGCCCCTGCCACGGGCTCTCCCGGCCTCTTCTGCTCACCTATGCCCAAAGAGGTCCTGCTGTTGACCTGACGTCTCCTCAGCTGCTGCACCTTGTCGCGGAGCTGCTCCAGCAAACAGGTGAGGAACTGGAAGCGGCCGAGAAGAAGGGTCTTCGCGATCACCTCCATTTGCGTGTAGTTCTGCGCGTTCAGATTTCGGGTCCTCCTCGGCGAGTAGTTCCGGGCGCCCCCCGGCAGGTTCCCCCCGCCTACGGGCAAAGGAGGCTGCGAATTTTCCACCTCCGCCTGCGGCTCCTCCATCTCCGGCTCCCCGGCTCCGGTGGCCCGGCGCCGCCGCCTGGACGGCATGGAGCGGGAGGAGGGCGTCGGCTCTGAAGCCGCTTCTTTGAGCTTACTCCTCCTCTGCCCGACCATTTTCTCATGTTCGGAGGGAGCTGGGTCTCTGTCTGGCGCCGGCCCAGCCCAGTCGGGCGAGGTCCGCAGGGGCCTAGCTCGGCTCACAGCCTCAACGACTCGTCCCCGCCACCGTTGCGGGCCGCCCGGTCGTCATGACGACCGGGAAGCCTGGAAGGCGGGGCGTGAGATCCAGGCCTCCCTGCTCTGCTCGTGCGTCCTCCACGCGCACCGCGCACCGTCTCGGCGCGCAGCCCACGCGCACAGCCCCAGCTCTGCGTCACGTGCCTCCCCCAGGCGCGTCGTCCCCGGCGCGGCGCCGGCGCACTGCCCCACGCAAATGCCCGCGCGCACCCTCGCAGGCGGGCCGACCTGTGCCCCGGGGGGCTCCACGGTCCGGCTGGCGGGGAAGCAGAAGGAGCTCTCTCTGATTTCCTTCTTTTTTTCGAGTTCAGGCGTAGCTTTGTTATTTTTACCAAAAGGTTGCACGTCTGGAAGTAATTTAAAGGGAAAGAAATCTTAGTTGAAAGAAAGAACCATAGAAAGAGAGCGAGGGAAGAAAGAGGTGCGCCTCCCACTTTGGGAACATCTCTCTCCCCTCCTATGAACACCTTTGCAATGGACATTAAGTGTCTCCTACATAGAGGGATTGGCCCAAGGCCATAGGCAACATGTGGCAGAGAAGGCTGAGCCAGGTAAGTCTAACCTCAAGGCTTCGGGTTGGCACTAGAGTTGATTGATACCGCCTTTCCCCTTGGAGGGCGGCATTTATAAATCCATTCTTGAAGTATGTGGACCTTGAAATTTAAAGTTATTTTATCAGGCAAAAATGTGTTTATTAAGGAATAGCAGAGAAATGCAATTCAGGACATGCAAGCTATGGGCAAAACGATAGGCAAGTACAGCAAAGGAGAGGAACTTATGAGAAGGAGACAGTTGGGCGGGGTTATTTTGAACAGAAACCCATTGGAGAACTTTAAGAGTGCAGGGTGATGAGGATTTCTCATTGGCGGAGTTGCTGGCTTAGCAAAGTTCTTGTGGGAGATAAAATGTACATCTCTTCCTGTTAGGGCTTGTAATTGAGGATTCTTTCTAGTTCCATCTTCGGTTGTGGTCTGTAATTCACCTCCAGTGGTACAGTGAGGGAGCTCCCCCTTCTGGCCTATAGACTCCATTTGAAATGAGGTTTCCCGTTATTAATTTTCACAAGTGAAAGTATGTGTCCCAACAGTGTTGCTAAGATAGAATTCCTTGGGCATAGAATCATTGTGCTCAGTGCTCTCACCTTCCTAAACCAGACCCTACCCAGCCTCAGAGTCGCTACATAGCCAAACATGCCATAGCAGCTAGCAAAGATGGACGGGGTTCATTGACATTTTCCATGTCCTCTGGCACCGCTGGAGTCCACACCGCTTCACTTCCCATCTGTTTTGAACTCCCTCATCCCCACCTCCCCCATGTGATAATCTATGGCTCATTATGGTCAGATTAGTTTTCCTGATACAATATCCCTCAAAAATATTCATGGTTCCCATAACCCACAAATGAAATGTAAACTCCTTAGCTTGCGCATCAGTGCCTTCAATAATCTGCCCCATTCGGCCTTTTCCACTTCTCTGGACACAGATCTTCCAGTAATTTTGAGTGAGGTGCAAAGCATGAGACTCCGTAACTATCCCTTTACTCATACCAGAAAGCTATTCCCTAGTCCCCTAGCTTTTTTATCCATTTCTCCCTGCGCATCTAATTCTTTCACCTTCCAAGCCCCAGCCCACATTAATTCCCCCTTCTCTAAAGGTCTAAAGCAACTATTGACCATAGTATTCATCTTGTCACTTATTTAAATTCAATAAATACTGTTATTAATTTGTTGTTTCATAAGTTTTTTTCAGGGAGAATTTCTACATTGCTGGCACTGTTTGGTGCTTAAAATATTTTCGCATTTAATTCATACAATAACTTTGTTCAAATTAGAAAACTGAGGATCAGGGCTATAGTAACTTGCCCAAGTTTTAACAGCTAAAAATTGTCCAATAACCAGTTTAAAATGAAAGGTATTTATGGGTGGTTGATAAAAATATGTTACTGAATAAATATGCAAACTCAAAATACCTTATTTTTATGTATTTTAATATTTTTGAGAACAGTAAGTGAAAGGCTATGATTATTTTTTATTAGAGTTATATTAGATTCATAAAATGAACTGGGCAGATTTGCACCTTTTTGCATTGGAACATCTAGTTTGGGAGCCTTTCTTTTTTTCTTTAATCTTTCAGTTTCCTTCATGATTATTGGTCTATTTACATTGTCTACCTCTTCTGGGGTCAATTTGTGAAATTTCTGTTTTCCCATAGACATTTCAAGTTAGCTGAATGCTACACCCTACTCTACCTGAGATTAATATGGCTATGTGTGCTTTTTAAAAAAAAAAATTAGAAATTGCCCGATGAATCTGTTTATCCCTCAACTCTCTGTGATTTTAATAGGTGTGTTTCTTTTAGGCTGTATATTGTTGAATATTTTTAAGATACTCTGAGGGTCCTTGTTAATAGATTATTCAAGTGATTTTATACACTTTATGTTTTTTTCATGAGGGGTGGGCATTTTTGTGGGAAGGAAGGAGTGGCTGCTACTGGAAGGTTGACCAGACGTCATTTCTATGCCATTTTCCTGTAGTTCTGAACTGAACTTTCTGATTTTGGTTTCCTACCCTTCAGTTCATTTTGCCTATTTCCTATGTTACACTTTTTGGTCAGTTTGTTTATTTGTTTTCTGGAATTTCCAGTCGCCTCTTGGATCACTCAGTGCACTAACAGAATAAAACATATTCTTACCCTTGGTTTAGCCCTTGAAAGTACTAATCTGGTCACTTTTTCTATTTAAAAAATAATTTTTATAAGAATGTTCATTGTATTATTATTTCTATTGGTGAAAATTAGAAATAACCTCCACATCAAATAATACATTATAGAACACTCATGGAGTGAAGCATCCCTAAATTGACTAAAGTCATTTGAATATTTAATAATATGGAAAAATACTCATGATATAGTGTTTAAGGTATAAGAAGCAGGATGTATATGATTCAGGCATATAGTCACACATAATTAACTATATGCCAGGTTCCATTTTAAATCTTTTATAGTGGACTCATATGTGGAAGATTACTGTGGTGTGACCTTGAGCTAGTAACTTAGCCACTCTATAAAATTTCTCACCTGAAAAATGCTAAAGCACCTAAAACAAAACACATACTTAATTTAAAAAAATGTTCCTATATCTTGCTCTAGATTGACCATATTAAAAGGATACTGGTCAGTATTACTCACAATATTTTGCTAACCTGGATTCTTTTTCATTAAATTATATTTCTGTATAGTTCTATTATTAGACAGTAAAATGAGTGCTAGATTCATTAGTTAACTTAAAAAAACTGAGAGACAGTTGCATAAATAATTATGCATTTTCTTACTAAGAACCCCCAGTGCTCCATTCAATACGTGCCCTCTTTAATACCCATCACCAGGCTAACTCATCCCCCCACCCCCCTCCCCTCTAGAACCCTCAGTTAGTTTCTCAGAGTCCATAATCATGGAACACTACATCAAAAACTAATGATGTAATGTATGGTGATTAACATAACATAATAAAATAAAATTTAAATAAATAAATAAATAAAATAAAACTAGTTTCTCTTAAAAAAAAAAAAGGAATAGATTTGTATATGTGAGGGAAAACATGGCTGAATAGAATCATGGCACATTTTCATCTTTCTATAACTTCCAACAGCAGTCACTTATTTTACTTAGTTATTTTGGTTTTTTTTTTTTAAGATCTTATTTATTTACTCATGAGAGACAGAGAGAGAGAGAGAGAGAGGTAGGCAGAGGCAGAGGCAGAAGGAGAAGCAGGCTCCCTGCAGAGCAGGGATCCCAATGCGGGGCTCTATCCCAGGACCTTGGGATCATGACCTGAGCTGAAGGCAGACGTTTAACTGACTAAGCCACCCAGGCGCCCCTACTTAGTTATTTTGAACAGACAGTTATTTGAGTTGTATTTTAGCTACATGCTTATTAATGACAATAACTTAAACCAGTATGCCTGATATTTATTCTATGATGAACTGACAAGTAAAATAACACATTATAATTTGATATAATACAATATATTCTTGCATATTATATTCTATTTAAGTGAATATGCCTCGTGATTTAGCAAATTGTTTCTCTTACATAGAGATTTCTAATTCAGTCTGTATCTAAAACTCATCTGTTTTCTCTTTGTCTCTTAGTAAAGCAATTGGTAATTTTTACCCAAAAGTGCAGTGAAACAAAATAACCAGCAGATGGCAATAATGACTTGTAAATCAGAATTTTTAAAATTTTTTTAGGTAGGTTTAAAAAGAAAAAAAAATCATTGTTCTTGTAATAAATCAGTTTACTAAATATGAAATGTAGGGGAACTCCAAATTTAATTCCACATAAAAATAATTATGTTGCATATTTTGTATATCAAATAATTAAAGATACTCATTATGGCCAACATTTGGTTTTTGAAATAATAATGACTGCTTAAATGGATTCAAGGAATTTTTTTTATCAAATTTAAATGTTTTAACTTTACACAAATAGATGTAAATTGAAGTGGATAGCTAAGTTACATCTATATGTAGCTTGGTTATATGGATCAGGAAAGAGAGGTAGTTCAGTGAACCATCATTTTGAAAAAGTTATATTTTCCACTATAATTTGATAACATACTAATTTCACTTTAATTGATACTTTTCTGCATAAAAGATGGGTTTTCATCTGTGTTGTTTCACAGTTTCTTATACATTAAAGTACTTTTTTTTCCCTTCGACAGTACGAGGAATTGGAATTGGCGTCAAAGTGTGTATCTAGCCTATCACCATTAGATAGTTCCAAAGATGGTAGCAGAGTTTTTAGGATCTCATAATTATGTCAACTGTAATTGAACTGCATATCCAAGATTTTTTTAGAGCCATTTTATTTAGTGATTTCTTCATTTCAATTAAGAAGTTTTAAAAGAGTGAACCAAATGGGACTCTTTTTTTATATTTTTGTAGGACTTCCTATAAAT